AGGAGTCCACTCAAAGGTCTTACAAGCACCTTTAAGCGTAGCAAAGAACGGAGCACATCTATCACCAGCCCTGACTATAAAGCGATTGAGGGCTGCGATACGCCTAGCAAGTACTTTCACCTCTCGACCTTTGGTGGGAGGAGGCATTTGAAGGATTGCATCAATCTGGCAAGGGTTGGCTTCGATCCCTCTTTGGGTGAGCATAAAGTTAAGGAACTTGCCAGCGGTTGCACCAAAAACACACTTTTTTGGATTGAGGCGGAGGTCATACAAGCGCATAGTGGTGAGCGTTTCCCTCAAATCTTCGAGGTGAGCGCTGACCCCGATGCTCTTTATCAGGATATCATCGACCTATGCTTCTACATTCCTTCCCAGTTGGTGGGCAAAAACTCGATCCACCATGCGCTGATACGTGGCACCGGCATTTTTTAGGCAGAAGGGCATCACTTCATAACAGTAGTTTCCAACAGGTGTCATGAAAGCTGTCTTTTCTTTGTCTTCTTTCTTCATCGGGATCTGGTGGTACTGGGAGAACATGTCGAGAAAGGTGAGGAACTGGTATCCGGAGGTGGCATCCACGAGCTGATCAATTTTTGGGAGAGGGTATGGATCCTTAGGGCATGCCTTGTTTAGGTCGGTGAAATCCACACACATGCGCCAATGACGATTTGACTTTTTTACCATAATGACATTGGTCAGCCACGTTGGGTACAAGACTTCCCTGATAAACCGAGCTTTAAGGAGTTTGGTGAATTCTTCGGCCACCGCCTGGCGTCTTTCCCATGCAAAGTTTCGCCGCTTTTGTTGGACGGGGAGGCTGCCAGGGGCTATTTTGAGTGTGTGCTCGGCCACTCGAGGGTGGACCCCATGCATATCTTCGGGACCCCAGGCGAATACTTCCCCAAATTCCCGGAGTAACGTGAGGAGGGACTGGAGTGACTCTCGCGGCCAGGCGGTCGATATGCAAACGGTGTGCTCATCGACTAGTGGGAACTCCTCGTCGTCATCAATAGGAACTGGGTGGGCAACTTCCTCTCCCGTGTGGATCGCGACAATCGCCTTTTTCTCCTAGGACAGAGCGCAACATTGTCGTGCTAGAACTTGGTCCCCTTGCACACACCCAACACCGGCCTTAGTGGGGAATTTAAGACAGAGATGGAAAGTTGAGGGGATAGCCCGAAGTTGATGGAGAAAAGGTCGAGCGAGGATACAATTGTACGCCGAAGGACAATCAACTACATGAAAGTTGATGATGGTTTCAGTGGTATGTTCACCCCTCCCAATCTGAACACGAAGTGGTAGGGTCTCGATCACAGGCACCTGGGATCCGGAGAACCCCGTCAAGCAGATTTCTAGCGGTCGACACTGTTCAGGGCGATATCCCAATGATAGGTAGGCAGGGTAGAAGAGTAGGTACGTCGAGCTTCCCCATCCACCAAGATTCTCTTGACCTCGTAATCGGCTATTATTGCCTTTTATTACCAATGAGTCATCATGTGGGTGCGCAACTCCTTCTAAATCATGGGAGTCAAATGAGATTGAAGGAGTGGCTGCTGTTGCTGAGGTGGACCCCGTCATGGCCTGAGCGTTCATCGGAGATTTAGCTTGCATACCCCCCAGGCCGGCTCCCCCATGGATGACCTCGATGACCCCACGAACAACGGTGCCCTGAAGAGTTTTGCCTCGATCAGTGGGCGGGAGCTCTCGGGAGCATTCTGTTGAGCCTTCAACATATTTCTTGAGATGTCCTTCTTAAACAAGATTGTATATGGAATTCTTTAGAGTCCAACAACGATCTGTATCGTGACCATAACCTCGGTGGAAATAACAATACTTGTTCTTCCCTTTTCGTGGTTCCTTGGTCATTGGAGGTGGCCACACAATCGGGATTTTCTTCTCTTGGATGTTTTGCAAAATGGTTTTGCGGGGTTCCGTGAGGGGAGTGAAAGGACGTTCTACTTTGGGTTCAACTCCTTCCCAACGGCATCTCGACGACCTCCCTTATCTGAGGGCGGCGACGAACGACCACGTGGGCGCCCGCAAGCTCGCGGTGAGTCTGCTCTTCTTGGAGGTGAGGAATCGCGCTTCCTCTTAGGTGGAGGCGAGCGACCTCTCCTATGGGGGCTGCCTCCTGCAGAGTCTCGTCAAGTGCGATATACTTAGAAACTCGTTCCTGGATATCCATCATGTTTCGAGGGCGACACTTTATAAGTGAAGCTCGGAGGAGGGCGTTATTGGTCCCAAATATGAGGGCATGTGTGGCATTCTCTATGGAGAGAGTGGTTAACCCGGCAACAATCATGCTGAACCAGGCGTAATACTCTTTGAGGGTCTCATATTCCCTTTGTTTGGTGTTCATGAGGTGAGAGACATCCACATTAGGCCTTTTACGAGTGAAGAACTTAGCACGGAAGAAGGTGGCAAATTCTTCGAAGTTGTGGATTAACCCATTGCGAAGTTGTGTGTACCATTGAAATGCTACCTCCCGTAAGGTGTCAGGAAAGAGCTTGCACATAGTAGCGTCAGATGCCCCCACGAAGGGCATCAGAATCTGAAATGCACTGAGGTGATCCTCGGGGTCAGAAGTCCCGAAGTATTCTGGCAGGTGGTGCGGCATTTGAAAATTGGGAGGATTAGGTTGCTCAAGAATAGTCTTGGCGAGGGGCCTTCCGTGATCGGGATCACCGAGGAAGCCTGGCGTGAGATGAGCCTCCAAATAGGAGAGGTCGGGTCACGAGGGAGGGGGGCGGAGCCGACGTCCCGTTTGGGTGAGCGGACCCACCAGAGGTTTCTGGTTGTTGACTTGAACTACCACCATGCACGCCATTGGGAGGAGGACCCAAGGTCAGCGTTTTTATTTGTGCCTTGAGTTGCTCGATTTGAGTTTGGAGTTCCTCAATAGAGGGTTGGACGGAAGTTTCTTTGTCTCGACTTCCCCCCGCAGGGCGGGAGCTTTCGGACTTCATCACGAATGAAAAGTTAATATCAGGTATCCTTAATACTTTTACTTCGAGGCCCCATGGTGGGCGCCAATTGTTGATGCCAAAGTTTTAACCGAGATCGACTTCCTCAATCTTGGGTCCCGAAGCGATTTGAAGTGCCCTTTATAGTAACCTTCTTTTGTGACGTTGCCTCTGATCGCTTCCTGCAAAAAAGAGCCCGCCGACCGATCTCGGCGGGGGGACCCTCCGATGCTCAAGTTAGTCCTTAGTGTGTGGGATTGAGTAGTTTATAAGGTGTTTGCAGGAGGTGAGCTCGGGGGGTGAGTGTCACAGATTGCAGTGGGCGTTCTTAGGGTACCCGGTCTCTTGCCATACCTTTCACTAGAGAGAATGAGCTAGTTATATAGTAACTACCGGGGGGACAACGGGAGGACAGGTGTCGGCGCCGAAGATTAAGGAAAGACACGTCACTGGACATGTGTCATCTAGGCCCATCTGCTCCCGCCACGTGGTTGTACACATGTCAACCATGTTTCTGCCTAAGAGGAACACTCTTTCCACATGCAAACTGATTGAGTAGAGGGCATCGGAACTAGCCGAGAGGAGAAGACCCGGCGCCGGAACAATAGCGGGCCCGGGCACCAGGAGGCGGGCGTAGCCCGGAAGCAGTATCGGGCCCGGGCGCCGAGCACCGGAAGAGAGGCGAAGGCCCAGCGCCAGGAGCCGGGGCAATAGCAGACCCGGGTGCCGGAGGAGGGCGGAGCCCGGGAGCCGAGGTCCAGGAATGATGACGGGCCCGTGCGCCGGGAACTGGACGAGAGGTGAAGGCCCACCACCGGGGGCCGGGGCAATGGTGGGCCCGTGTGGTGCCGGGAGGAGGGCGGAGCCCGGGAGCAGGGGTCCGGGAACGATGTCGGGCCCGGGAGCCAGGAGCCGGATGAGAGGTGAAGCCCCACCGCCGGGAGCCGGGGCAATGTTGGGCCCGGGTCCGGGAACCATAACGACCCGCGCGCAGAGAGCCGGACGAGAGGTGAAGGCCCGCCGCTGGGAGTCGGTGCAATGGTGGGCCCGGGTGCCGGGAGGAGGGCGGAGCCCGGGAGCCGGGGTCCTGGAACAATAACGGATTGGGCGCCGGGATCGGGACGAGAGGTGAAGGCCTGCCGTCGGGAGCCGGGCAATGTTGGGCTCGTGTGCCGGGAGGAGGGCGGAGCCCGGGAGCTGGGGTTCGGGAACGATAACGGCCCGGGCACCTGGATCCGAACGAGAGGTGAAGGTCAGCCGCCGGGAGCCAGGGCAATGGTGGGTCCGGGTGCCACGAGGAGGGCGGAGCCCGGGAGCCAGGCTTGGAGGAAGGAACTAATCTTGGGGCAATCACGAGGCACTGTATGATTTAATGTTGACGGACCATGGCACAAATAATTGGGTACTAATTGGAGCTGGACGGGCCTGACCCATTACTTCACCGGAGAGAGTCGTGGGCTGAGCACGATTGTCAGCCCAGGTGCAATAATGCACTATTTGAGCAGATGGTGAGCTAGTGCTATAAAAATATTTTTACATTGGGTATATCATAAAAATAGGGTTAATTGCATGGTTGGTCATTGATATTATAAAAAGCGTTCAAGTTTAGTCATTCGAAATATTTAAATTCATTGGTGGTACTTCAATTTACTGAAACCGTTCACGTTTGGTCACTCTCCGTCCAACTCCGTTAACTTTTGCTTATGTGGCGGTCAACTCTAAAAGTTTACCGTTAAATGTGTGACGTGGCAATTTAAAATTAATAAAATTAAATTTTTTTAAATTGCCATCTCATTTCCACCTCATATCACTTTTATTTAAAAAAACAAAAACCCCTAATTTCTTTTATGATGGGGATTAGAAGACGAGAATAACACGGCGGCGCTGCTGAGCAGAGAGCTGCAATCGATCAAATCTGGCAAGAGGAAATCAGACTACGTTGTGACACCGATCCTGAAAGCTAGCTTGGAAGGGATTTGGGCGAAGATGATTGAGTCGGGGAAAACAGGGTTCGTTTTCAACCCGTATGGCGGAGCGATGGATGAGGTGTCGGCGGCGGAGACGGCGTTTCCTCATCGTGCAGGGAATCTTTACAAGATTCAGTACTTGATTGGGTGGAAGGAGCCTGGGGTGGAGGCAGAGGAGAAGTATCTGGGAGATATTCGGAGCCGGTAATGTCCAAACCGACTCTCCTACTGACGCTCTCTTTCACCTGCTTTACAATTTGCCTCGCGCACTGCCGCGGACTTCTGGTCTCTTCCTCCGGCTTCAATTCTCTCTCGTTCAGCCGAGCTTCGATCCGCAAGATCACCAGCTCCTCGATGGGCGTCATGTTCTCCCTGTTGAATCTTGTTCAGAATTAGGATGTCGTTTTGATTTTCGCCGTCGCGATTTAAATCCTTGCCACCTGCGATGGTGAAAACATCCTATTTTTGTAAGGGAAGTGGTAGATCCAGCCGTAACACCGGAGAAATTCAGGCTGGGTGCGGTTGGTTGGATGAATGGCAAAGTGGCGGTAGATTGGGTGGCATGTAACTACTATCATGGGGACCTCCTCCGCCATCCTCTTCTCCCTGGTTTTCCTCTCGCCGAGCAAACTAATCAGTCGTCTTCTTCCGAAGGTAATCCCGCCAAGAACAACAAGCCCGGTGCCCCTCAATGAACATATCTTGATGTAGCCAGAGTTGAAGGAGGATAAGCCTCGACCCAGTCCGGAGATCGCCCTCGCGCGTTTGAAGGGCTAGATTTAAAGGGATCACATTTTCTGAGGGGAAGACTAAGGATGGCGACGGGATTGGGAAAATAGTAACCCGCCGCCAGTTCTTCAACTTTGCCCTCTCTGCCATCTTCTGTTTCTCCGTCGTCTGCGGCAACCCATCCATCCTCTACCTCCCGTTCTCCTTCAATCAGGCCCTAGTGGTAATGGTCGGGCAAAGGGGTTATGGCGCTGATGATGACTCTGATTCGGACTCATGGAGATTGGGAGAGTCGAGATCTGGAGGCAAAGTAGCAACGCGACGGCGGTGACGATTTGGAGGACCGGAGGTTGGAATTAGAATTGGGAATTTTCAAGAGGGGAAAAGGTTGGAATCGTGAAGACCTAGGATTTTTTTTTTTTTTGTTTTTCAATTTTGTTTAAATTTTATGTATTTATTATGTTTTAACAATTACAACAATGAGGTGGAAATTTTAAAGTATTAAATTTATTTTTTTATTAATTTTTTTTAATTTCCACGTCACATATTTAACGGTCAACTATGTTAGTTGACTGCCACGTAAGCTAAAGTTAACGGAAGTAGACGGAGAGTGACCATTTATGAAATGAGAGTATAAAATTAGTGACCACGAATGAAATTAAATATTTCCAGTGACCAAACGTGAACGTTTTTTGTAATCTCGATGACCAACCATGCAATTAACCCCATAAAAATATCTCACAAATCAATTGTGAGCACCATACCCGGTTGTTGACCTTCACCTCTTATTCCGCTCCATTTCGTTTCGCTACCTGTCATCTCTCTTCGTTTCAACCAACGGAAAGACCCCTAATCATGTCATAAGCTTTATAGTAAGTTAGTTTGTGAGGCATTAAGCTCTATATTAAGCTTTTTACACAGTCAAATTTTTCAAGATTTAGGAAACCCTACTTTACCGGCCAGTCGGACCGGAAATGCCGGATACTGGACCTAAAACGATAGGAGGTTTTAACGGTAGGAAACGGTTCAATCACAATTTTAGTACAAAATACCTTACTGTTGACTTCTCCAGTATAACCTCTGGAACGGTTCCCTCTACCTTTAAATTTTTACGTGTTTAGCATTAGGCTCCATATTGAGTTGGAATAAACTTTACAGCATGGAACTTGAAAGAGGCCAAGACAGGGATGACAGACTACACATGAATATTGGTAACTACTATTACCAAAATTTAATGATCATAACTAGTTAAAACTGCACCAGGCATCATGCGAATTGCGACATATTGCAACATGCTTTCTCCTTCCATCTTCCACAGTATCCATTCTCCCAAGCCACTACCAGCATTGAACTACAACGAAAAGCAATAGAGGAATTAGACTGATTAAACGCATGAACAATCCGGACTCGATAACATGATAACAAATATGATCTGTTACAGTTAAGACAAGCGAAGAGAGGGCATGATAAGCTTCTGAGCCTAATCCAATTCAAGCTGAGTAGTAAATAGTAATAGAAGATCAAGTCCCATTAGATTTGTCAAATGCTACACTTAGCAGATAAACAGAGTATGGCGAAGATCAGAAAGTTTCTAGCAGATTGGTGGAGGGAGATGATTTAGAAGTTATGGTGCCGTGACCAGGTGACACAAAAGATTCATATTGAGATATCACTATGAAGAAAACCGAATTCAAAGCAAAGCAATACCTATAAGAATGAGCTTCAAAGCATCTCAATAATTTTAGGCTGCTTCTTTGGCCTCCTTTTGTTGACAATTCCAGTTGAACCACCTCTTCCGAGCTTGGATGCGTCATTTGGTGAAGTATCTTTGCTGATATTATCATTTCCCACACTACCCAGATCATCAGCCCCTTCCCTATCACTTCCATCATCACTATCATCACTTGAATCTTCTGAGTCTGACTCACTGCTGCTGCTACCATCTAATGTTATCAATGGTAGGGCTCCAGACAAGGCAGATTCAGCAGCAGCCACAGCTTTCTCATTGTGAAGCTCTGCTACACCTAGCATCAAATCCTAGAAAAAACAAGACACCAAAATGATATCATTAAGATAAAAATTGATTTGATATAATCACGGACAAAGACAGATATCACATTACCATTTCAATAACTTCGGATTCATTTCCTGTGAGTGCTTCAATATCACAGTTCTCAGAACTATCCTACATATTTAACCACAAACAAGAAACGGGTTATTCTATTTGGAACTTCAGACGAGGTGGATCCCCAGCAATAAGTGAACAAACCTTGGGATCTGGTTGTTTTGCTATGAGTTCGAGTAGATCTTTAACTCTTCCTAGCACTGCATTACATGAAAATCAAAGGTACTGGGTGTTAAGTATCAGATAAGTGAGTCGAGTACAAGCCACTATTAGAAACTGTGACCATTCGTTACAGTTCCTGAATGTGTGACCCATTAATTTAACTTGAGAATTCACATCCTCGAAATCAAAATCAAAATAGATGCAAAACTATCAAACAATCTGAGATGCAAGAATAGGTAGTCCTTGTAATGCTGGGTGATCTGTCAATTAACTCTGAAGAAGAAACATTAACACAGTTACATATGAGATCATGTCTAGCAGTTCTCCAGTATGTTAAAGACTGAATAACACAAGAGAAGGACCATCACTTTCTTCACCAACCTAAGAGCTGAATCTACATTACCAGACCTTTCACTACCTATATGGCTCTATTTTGAGTCCAGTAATATTCTGGAAACCGAACACTATCGTAACAATATTTGTACAATGGTTAACAATTTCTTATATAAAGCTTCAACATTCAGCTAAAACACCAAGTTCATTAAACCCCAGTTTTCACCACTAGATTTCTTTTTATGAATGAAAACAAGGCATTATTCAAAGAGCAATACACCAGGACTGTATCACTAGAGTTATTATAGAGAAAAGACAGAAGAAAAGCTAAAAAGGGGCTAAAAAAATACTTGAGACACCCTGCACGAAACAAACCAGAGCAAAAGAGAAAGAACATCAGGTTCTCCTAGCACCGAAATGCAAACTCTCATTGTTCCACCCCCATCACTTGTGGACATACATGATAACAAAAAATGCTAAACAGAAAAGTAGTTGCATGACAAAATCAGGCATATATTTGAGGAATGCAAGTGAATTTCAGCAAAGCGATAGCACAACTCTACATGCCTTCCCGCGCAAGATGTAGCCTACAACATAATGGACCTTTCACAAACTTAATAAACTAACTTGATCCACCGCCAAAACAACAGCATTCAGATTTCAGTTGTGGCCATTATCCAAGAATGATGAGTAAATAGAGATACCATAATCAAATGGAAGTTCAGCGTATGGACTTAGCTTTACTTTTATATCACAGAAATCCCCACAATGGTACAGAAAACAAGCTGAAAGACTCATCCAGGAATAGCAATCCATAAGTCAAAACTGACACAGCGGTAGTCAACTCAAAACTGTGGTCTGTAGCCAAATAAACAGAACAGCTGACATCGCAACAAGCCATAAACCGCAGAACTGAACCTTTCCATTCCTTTCCCTGATGACTCCGCTATCAATGAAACTGAATTCTAATAAAATGAAGCATTCAAAAGTAACGTTACCTTGGCTTTGAGGGACTGGAGCAGTCATGAGCTTCCCATCGGAAGGAGTTGTTTTAGGTAGAGAAATGCTCGAATCCTTCCCGCAGAAGAGAAGTGAAGACTCGAAAGCCGACCCGGCCGTGGCTGAATCCTCCTTTTCCAGCCGCAAAAGCTCCTTGCTCGCACTTCCTCCACGCCTTTCTTTCTTCCTTTTTCCTTGATCCTCCATTATTTTCTTCTCCTCGCTGCGTCACAGAGTTAGAGACGAAAGCAGCAGTGGCAATTGGCAAAGCTCTTCCTCTTTTATTTTTGGTAGAACCCTAGGCCCTTCCTTTCTTAAAGCAGCTGCCACGCGAAACTGTATTCCGCCGCGCAGGAGTTCTGAAATTAAAACAGAGGAAGCGAAGCGGCGCCATTGTCGTAAATATCTGACACTGCTGCTGGAGCGCAAAATTGGGCCTCCGGGTTCAATAACTGCCCCATTTGGGCTTTTCAGGCTCGTTAATTATTCCGTACCGGTAGGGCTCAGTCTGGTTTGGTATGTGGCGGGTAGTGTTAATTTATTTGGATACTAACAGTTTACGGTTATCAAATTCGTGTTTACGGATTTGAAGGTTTTGAATTTGTGATTTGATGGATTTGTAATTTTAAATTTACATGAAATGTGAGATAATTTTACTAATTCATGAAAAATATACACCATATATCGTATCCTCGTATAATTATAAATCAGTGGGCGTCATTAACTTGCGATACCAGAATAAGAGCAGCAACCTCTAGTGACATTATAGACATGAAAAAGGAAGATCTTCATGACTCTATGAAAAAGATGACCGTACAAATATATTATGTCTAGATATTTCATTTCGATTTCGCAAACGGTCTTCGAAGTCACGTAAGCAAGCATTTACACATCGCGGGATGACATATCATTACGTGGTTAATTGCATGGTTGGTCACTGAGATTACAAAAAAAACATTCAAGTTTGGTCACTCGAAATATTTAAATCCATTTGTGGTACTTCAGTTTACTGAAACCGTTCACGTTTGGTCACTCTCCGTCCAACTCAGTTAATTTTGGCTGATGTGGCAGCCAACTCTCAAAGTTGACCGTTAACTTAGTGACGTGGCAATTAAGAAATAATAAATAAAATAAAATTTAATCCATCTTAATGTCCAACTCATTTTTACCATAAAATAAATAAATAAAAATAATATTATAATTATCAAATTGAATTGCACATAGAAAAATCGTCTCGCACTGCCTCCTCAATTACAAGGGTTTCCTCACTTGTCAGTAGGGATGGCAATGGGTCGGGTTGGGTCGGGTTTTGCCAAACCCAAACCCAAATCCATGGGTTTATCTTTGAAAAAAACCCGGGGTAAAACCTACTGGGTTTGAAAAACTCAAACCCAGCCCAACCCGTTGGGTATCCGCGGGTTCATGGGTACCCATGGGTTTTGTCGTAAAAAATTTACAATTACAAGTTCTTATCAACATTAAAGTCAAATATCAATCTCTCAATACAAATTATCCATATATAAAACACCATTCTAGAAAATTCAAGCAAATCACAAATTAACTATACAAATTGTTCAACACCAATTTAGAAAACAAAAAAAAATTAAAGCAAATCACAAATTATCCATAAATAACATGTTTAATTGAAAGCTTCTTCCTTTCAATTAAGTTTCTTTACTCTCTACTCCATAACATCAACTTCATTTACACAATTAAAAAGAAAAAATTAGACATGTCTCCACAAACATAAATAAGATTAGTTGTTTAGAATATTAAATATACCGAAAAAATTAATTATATGGGTGGCGGATACCCACGGGCCGGGTTTACCTAAACCCAAACCCAACCCAACCCGGCAAATAGTGAACGGGTTTAAACCCAAACCCGGCCCAAAACCCGTCAACACGGATTTTACCCGCGTTGACCGGGTTGGGTCGGGTGGGTACCCGTGGGTTCGGGTTTTGTTGCCATCCCTACTTGTCAGTAGGGGTGGGCATACGGTTCGGTAAAACCGAACCTAACCGAACCGAACCGAATTCAAACCGAACCGAAACCGAATAACAGTAATTCGGTTCGGAATTCGGAAGAGAAAAGGGTATATTTCGGAAACCAAGGTCCTTTCGACCGAACCGAATTTCCGAATTCCGAACCGATTTTCCGAATTACTATAATTGCAAGTTCCAAATGGTGGATTTTTATGTTTGTACTTATTATGAGACTTAAATATTTGAATTATGTTAGTGTTTTATGACTTATGTGTTGAAATATTTGATTTTATCATTGATGATGCATTTAATTGCATATTTATTGTTTATATTAGGGGTGAAATATAATTTAAAAGAGAAAAAATACAAGCTAACCTCACAAGTTCGGTTTTTCATACAAAACCGAACCGAATTATAGTTCGGTTTGAACCGACCGAACCGAATTATAATTCGGTTCGAATTCGGTTTGAGGTTTGATGGAACTCGGAAACCCGGTATACATTATTTCGGTTCGGTTTGAACCGAACCGACCGAATGCCCACCCCTACTTGTCAGGTAATTCTTCGAATTGTTGCCCCTGTCGTATGAATGAATCCCTAAAAGAAAAATCGGGGACTCCAATTTTGTTCTTTGTTTGGGTAAAATGTTGGTTTCTTTCTCAGGCGCATCAAGTGGCTCACAAGTTATGGATGCAATCCCGGCGGCCGATGGCTCTAGCGCTACAGTCCCGGGTCTCCGACGTTTTTGCCGTCGACATTCACCCGGCGGCGAGAATCGAGAAGGGGTTCTGTTCAACCACGCCACAGGAGTGGTCATGGGCGAGACGGCGGTGATCAGGAACAAAGTGTCGATCCTACACCACGTTACCCTCAGCGCGGCGGGGATTGAGGAGAGTATCCGGATCCGATTCGCGACCCGACAGGGAGATCTGGTCTCACCGCTGGAAGTGTTGAAGCCGCAGCCGCCGTCGGAATCGGAGCTGGTGGTGAGGACGAGGAAGAGGAGGGCGGAGAGGGCGAGAATGAGGCCGAGCCAGGACCTTGATGTGGTGGTTTTGGAGGCGACAAAATCTTGATTGAACTGGATGTACTTGACGGCGAAGAAGGCGAAGGAGAGGCCCTGGGAGAGCTGGACGCCGCGGACGACGGGGAAAGGGAGGTAGTTGTAGAGCAAGGACATGAGGCTGGTGGATCCCAGGATGTGGAGAGTGGCGGCAGTGGAGAGCCCGACGGTGGCTATCTGAGAAGGGGTGAGGTGAGGGGTCTCGGAGACGGCGACGGCGTTGATGAATTACAAAATCAAAATTATAATATTTTTATTTTATTTATTTATTTTATGGTAAAAATGAGTTGAACATTAAAATAGATTAAATTTTATTTTATTTCTTAATTCTTAATTCTCACGTCACTAAGTTAACGGTCAACTTTGAGAGTTGAAAGCCAAATCCGCCAAAGTTAATGGAGTTGGACGGAGAGTGACCAAACGTGAAAGGTTTCATTAAACTGAAGTACCATCAATGAATTAAAATATTTCGAATGACCAAACATAAACGTTTTTTGTAATCTCAGTGACCAACCATGCAATTAACCCTATCATTACCATACTCATATTTCCTTTCTTCTTCTTTTGACACAAGTTCAAAAGAGGATATGCACAAAAGGCTATAATTTCCATTCCATTTTTGGCGCTTCACGTTGTTTAAAGTCTCGCCAAATATTTTATTTTATTGTCTTCAAAATGGAAACAAATATCAGCATATCATCGAAAGATATTATTATACATCTAATTCTAAGCTTTCAAATATATTTTTTCTTCTTCATTATACACAGGTTAGGGATAAAAGCTGCATAAAAAACAATCATTTTCCTTTTATTGAACTTACAACTTCTCTTTTTTTTATATAGGTAACTTAAAACTTCTAAAAAACTCATAAATGACGAACCAAATTACATCGGTTCAATATTCACGTCTGTACGGAAATACAACAATAAAAAGACCTGAGGATGAAAAAGACCAAAGACAACTAACTATATACGCATTAAACATGCTATACGAAAATCTACCTAACAACAAAAAAAAATTTATTTTACATATTAATCAAATGAATTTACGAGAAAAGATATAGAACTTCGCCATAAATTTCGAACATGTGATATCTAAGTCAGAAGTCAACAGCAATACCGGTAAACCGCTCATTCGCCATAACAAATCAACTCGAAATTAACGAAACGGAGATAATATTAATTATTATGCATTGAAAATATAATTGAAAAACAAAGCTTACAAAGTAATGAAAGCATCACTATGTCTTCTCTCAATGGGAAAATTAAATCACAAACTATGTTACGACTGAAACAATAATCAAACCACAAAGACCAATATTCAAAGCTTCAAAGTGAGGTCCAAATCCTCCCTCTCGTCTTCCTTCTCCACGTCCACCACCACCACTCCCGCCTGCCGCCACGGCCTACCCTCCATCCGCTGCAGAAACGGCCTCGTATAAGGCGCCCGAATTCGCTCTTCCAATGTCCTAAGCAATCCTCCTCGTTGGTAAGCAGACTTGAAATCATTGATAGTATGATATGGGGTTGGTGACGACGACGAAGACGACGTCGGTTGATCAAAGCGTGACAAAGACGAAGAAGCCACGTAATAGTTGTAGCAACGCTGGATCAGACCCGCGGTTTGGGTAGAAAGACGACCGGATGAAGGCGGGGAGAGCGCGAAGGAGTGGATGGAGCGGTTGATGCGGTGTGAAGCCGGGGTCTGCCCCCGCCCGGCGGAAGGAGGCGGCGGCGGTGGTTGTAGTAGCGGCGGCGACAGAAATGATGACGTGGCGCCGTCATCACCCGCCTTGCGCTTTCTCAGGTTGGGGAGGGAGGCGGCTAAGTGGGGGCGGTTGTGGGGAGAATGGGTGTTGACGTGGTCGATGAGGGTTTGGATGGTTGTGAAAACCGCCTCGCAGGAGTGACAGATTAGGGATAGCTGTTCGGACGAGGGTGCAGGTACGATAGCCCGTTCGCTCGATGAAGCGCCGGAGGAAGGAGGGCCGAAACATGGCCTTTTGGATTTGTTGTTGTCGGACATGGTTTTTTGGATGGAGAACGAGAGATATGTTAAGTGCTAGAACAATGGTGGATGATTTTGATTTACACAAAGGTGACAATCACTTGAATATATAGTCAATGTTGTTACTTGTTACCATTTTTTAGGTGTATGGAGGTGTACATGCATGGCATTTCATTCATATCAAAGATTTTGAAGGGCCGAATATTGTACGGTTGTAAAGGGAAATTTAACTATAAGGAAATGTAGAGGAGGTGGAACTAAATTGCCTAACATTTTAGATTCATTGGTAAAAAAATTGATTTCATAAACGAATATTTAAGGAACTCATATAAATTTATGATTTTGTAGGCATAGTAAAAAAGATAGATATATTTTTTTTTGGCATGGTGTGTGTGAAATTTAACAAGTTTGCTATTTGGGTTAAAGAGTATATGGTTTTTGTAATAATCTAGTCTTCATACAATGCAATAAAAATTAATATGGTGCATTATCTAGGTAGAAGTATCATTAAATTTTCGAAAAAAAGGTAACAAAATTTAGTATGAAGGATTGAGTAGATAGAACTGTAATTATATTTATTTATGGCAAAGAAAGTAACAAAATTTAGCATTATACATTGTATGGAAAGAACTATAATTATAGTTATGGAAAAGAACGTAACAAAATTTAATATGTTGCATTGTCTAGGAAGAACTATAATTATATTTATCGCAAAGTATCGATAAAACCGTTGGTGATAAGTTTTGGAAGTTGGCCTCTGTTTTTAAGGATGGCTTGGAGCTATAACACGTGATTTTTGCACAAAGGTTTTGCCATAAATGTTCATAACAGCCGTCGAACTAACTTATGATTGGACACTTAGCTTCGCATGTATTTCTTTAGGAGCAAGCCACATGAGAGGTTCCAACGACCAACGGTACAAATGTTTTGATGACTTCTCTGATCCTAACCTGGACTGGGAGTTCAATGAGTTTGAGAATCTTCTTCCTATAGTGGTGAGCGGCAAGATCAAATCAATAATTATGACTGACCGTTTGTCCAACGATAATGACACACTTCTTTCATAAGAGTACGTACCCCCAACAACCAGTTCACCACAAGTTCGGCTTACAAGATCAGCTCACCACATCAATCCTCTCAAGCATCGACGATGGGGAAGGCCATTTTGAAACTCCAACTCCTTGAGAGAGTTCGCTACTTTGTTTGAACTGTTGATGTTCCACGAATGAAAAGTTATGACCACCATGTGAAACACCTAGGAGACTCGACCATTGTGGGAAGGAAAAAGAAAGTTGTGTTCGGCTAGTTAGTTGACAAAGTGAGGAAAATGGTAAAACTTTGGAAAAACAAGTTGTTATTGAATGCAGGGTAGAAAGTACTTATTAAATCGGCATCTCAAGCACATACTACATTTGCCATCTCATTTTTCATGATACCTATGTGAGTAATTCAGGAGATATAGCGCACCATCTTCCATTTTTGTGGGGACAAAAAAGGAAGAGAGTGGTGGGTTGAGGACTTTCGAGACTTGCAAAGTTTTAATCGGCCCTCTTATGTATGTAGTTATGGAAAATAATGCAAGCCCTTAATTTAATAGTGACAAAAGTTATGAATGAGACATTCTCGAGGTTGAGGAAGGCAATAACCCAAACTACTTATAGTGAGGTTAATGTCGACAAAAGAATTTCTACCAAAGAGAATTCGTTATAGAACTAGGAATGGAAGGAAAGTAGATATATGGTAATATTTTTGAGTTTTAAATATAGAAAATTTTAAAGTCTCATCCCCGGCCTCGGTGATTGAGGACTCAACTTCAGTTGCAAAGTTATTTGATTTGGAAACTAGGACATGGAGAAATGACATTCAACGTGCTTATTCAACCCTAAAAATGTTATTAATATTCATAAGATCATTATACCAAGACAACTAGATGCTTGTGTAGCTAAGAGAAATCATGCCATTATATTGTCAAAACAACGTACAAACTGTGGTGAAAATGCAATGAAGAGGTAGGAGAGTATATACTTTTATTGACTAGAAAAGGCTATGAAGGTTGACCATTCCCCCTAAGGTTAAGGTCTTTGAATGAAAATGGGTGCACAATATATTCCCAAGAATGCATGATATTGTGGATCACGTGCAAAAAGGAAGTGAAGGGTTCCCTTTTGCAATCTTGAAGAGACTTATGAGCATATTTTTCGAGACTGTGGGTGGAGCATAATAGTTTGGAGACCTAGCTCTCTACATGAAGCATTCACAAATGGAGAAAATCTAATATGTGAAAAGTGAATTTGTACCCAAATCGAACGAAAATCTTGGCCGATTTCTTGTTTATTTGGTTTATACCGAACCAAAGGAACATTTGTTATAGAACAAAAAGAAGCTTAAAGAATGAAGATGATGTGAAAGGAAAGCAATTGTTAGAGGTGTACATTGATTATAAACATTTTATCACTTATTCAGCAAGGATTCTAGAGCAAAGATGGAAACCATCGACAGACACAAACTTCAGGTTGAGTGTCGAAGTCGCGATTATGAAAAATAGACGAACAAGCTTTGAAGTGGTGGCTTGGGATCGAAAAGGGGCGTTTTTTCTGGTAGTCATATGAAAGACCCGAACACATTAAGAACAGGAGCTCGTGAAAGCCATGGCTACATATGGCAAAAAATAAGTAACAAAATTTCATATTATGTATGATATAGAAAGAACAATAATTATATTTATTGCAAAGGATTGAGAAAACGATTGTTGATAAGTTTTGGAAGTTGGTCTTTCTTTCCAAGGATGGTTCTAAGCTATAACACATATTTTTTGCATGAAGGTTTTTCCATAAATGTTAATAATGGTCAGCGAACTAATTTTTATTGGACAATTAGGCTTTATAGTTATATCTTTTGGAGCTAGTCACACGAGAAGTTCCAACAACCAACGGTGTCGAATGTCTTGCTGACTTCAGGGATCCAAACATAGGTTGGAAGTGCAATGAGTTTGAGAATCTTCTTCCT